CTATGACCTCCGACACCCCCCCCCCCCCACACACACACAGCCAAGGGTCCATATTTGGGGCACTCAGCAGAAGACACTGATGCTGATCGCAGGACGGCTATTTTCAACCCCCCTCCCTCCCCAAACCTGCACTTCTGTTTCCTAGGGGGGATGTAGCAAACGATGGGTTTGCTTAATGACCGTGGTCCTCGCAGAAAAAGGTCGTAAAGTCAAGGACCCTCAGTTATTGGCTCAAGGACAGGCTGCCCCCCTTGTGGGCATCTGCCGTATCTTCTGGCTTCCTGCAAGGGCTTTGGAAACTCTCTGCATTGTCCTCCAGTGAAGAGCAGCAAGGAGCGTTTGTGTTTAGCAGCAGCAACAACAACCACAAGTACAGTTCCCCCTTCCTGTCCAAGGAGAAGGTGCAACTCTAGCAAAGGGAACGGCCGGTGTTGGCCTTGAAGGAGAAGGTACAAGATCTGGGGGTCTTGGCAAAATGGCGACAGGAAGGTGGGAAGGGGGATGAGTGGGGGGTGGGGAGATTTCTCCTTTTTTGCCGTGGTGGCAACGAATGATGGTGGTGGGACCTCAGGAGAAGTCCAGGAAATTTAAGCTGCCCAAAGGAGGGGGGCTCATGAGAGGTTGCCCCCGAGGAGGAAGACAGGAGGCCAAGAGGGAAGCGAAGGGAGGCAGAGCTGCCTTCCTCCTCCTCCTCCTCCTCCTCCTCCTCCTCGCAGCTGAGGTTCAGTGGAGGAACGGCTGCAGCCCAGCCCCCCTCAGCCTCTGCTTCACAGGCCATGCAGACAGCTGGGGACCCAACCACAGATGTCACAGGCAGGTGGAAAGACCCCACTCCTGACACACCCAGAGGGGGGGCTCCTGGGGGAGGCCTGGTCCAAAGAGCAGTGGCCATTAGAGCCCCCCCCCTTTCCCACACCCCCTTTCGGCTATGCAAGCACAAGGCCGGGGGGTGGCGGGTGGCTTCTGTGCACAGGAGAAGCGTCCAGCAGCACAAGACCAGCAAAGAATGGGGGGGGAGGGGGGAGGCAGGAGGGCCGCTGCTGCTGCTGCTGCTGCTTTGCTTGCCCCAGAGCCCCAGGAGCATCCTCTCACCTTCTGAAGAAGATCCGCCTCTTCTGGGCTGGGGTCCCTGTCAATGGACGAGATGCTCTCCAGGCTGTTCTTGCGCCCAATTCCGGCCGCAAAAGGGTTGGCGATGATTCCGGGAGACATCTGGGGTGGGAAGAGGGAGGGGGAGGCACTTTCAGGGCTGGCTTGGCCAGATGGTGGGGAACCCTTCCCTGGGAGAAGGCCGGGAGAGGGCACCAACCTCAAGGGCAGCCATGGCTTTGGGGTCAAAGCCCTCGCAAACGAGCACCAGCAGCCAGTCCCCCACGGCCCGCAGGACCTGCACCGCCTCCGCGTGCGTCATGCCCAGCAGGCTCTGCTGGTTCACCTCCAGGATGCGCAGGCCCATCCTCAGCCGGCCATCGCGGGCCGCTGCCCCGGTGGAGCTGACCTGAAAGGCACCAAAGAAGTGGGAAGGTGGCAGAACGGCTGTCCCCCCCCCCTCCCGGGGATACCACCCTTGCTCCATTGGGGGAGGGGGAAAGGCTGCTGCCCTGGCTACTTTGGATGCCTTGGGACAGGGACAGATGAAAAATTAATAAAGAAAATATATAGCTATTTGATAAGCATTAAGATGCAAAATGGGGAAGATATCTGTCGTTGCGACGGCACAACGTGCGATCTTGGTGCTCCGAGATCGCAGTCAAAGTTCTGCCACTGGATGGTCCATTTGGACCTAAACCATCCCGTAGAAATGATGATTGAGAAGGGCACCTCCTGCTGATCTCAGGGACACTGCAAAGTCCCTGAAAGATCCAGGAATAGCCCTTTTTTCCAGTGATAGAAACGCAGCTAATGAAGCTGCAGAAGTTGGGATAGCTCCAGAACGGGAAGAAAGCGGAAAGAGAAAGTGTGTCAAATTGGTGAGGAAATTTTATTATTAGAGGAAGAGACTACCCAAGAAAAAGATTTAAGTTAAGATTGAAGACAAAAAACTGTAGGTGGCGAGATTGATCTGCATTGAACTTAGTGTGTTATCTAGTTTCTAATTCTTTTTTTTTCACGGATGGAACTTTTGCAGGGGATCCCTATTTTTGAAACTAAATGGGTTAATTCTTTCTTCTTCTTTTTTTCACGTTTGCTTATACCTATGGATTAAAATTCTCCTTTTTTAATAATGCTTGATTTGATTGATTGGATTGTTTTTGATCTCCATCTGATGGAGAAACTGAGGATGTTTACCAAATGAAGAAAGTGGAGGACAGAGTTCAAAAGATGGAAGAAATAAAATGAGCAAAGAGATAGGAAAACTGTGGATACTGACAACAAAGTGAGCGTGGTTGGTAATGGCAAGAGCGGAATATGGAAAAGGGAGATCAAAGACTTGGAACTCTACCCCAGACTTCAAAGTACAGAAGAAGAAAAGAGAGAAAAAATGACGAAGAAAAGGAGAGAAATCTTGATAGAAGCACTAGCGATAACCAAAGATAAGCTGATGGAAAGAGCAGATGTTGGGTTTCAAGCTTTTGTGAGATACAAAATGAACAGCATGTTGCCAAAATTTATTAAGAAAGTAACTAGGGACCTTAATGCTACAAATGTCAAGAGATATAAGACTGTACTATTGCTGGAGGGATATAGGTTGATGCAATGAAAATGAAACAATATATGGAGATTATGAGAGGAGGTTTAAAAGCTTTA